TTTGATCTTTTTGTGAAACAAATAATGTCTCGCGTTTTCTTTCCCAGGTTTAATCCTAATTAACTGGGTCTTGCAGTGAAGTGTTGAAGTGTTCCTTTCACTGAATCAGCAAGGCGGGGTATGCAGCACAATAATATATTCACTCTTCTCTTCTCCAGCCCAGATAATTATTTCCATTTCTTAAGTCTACATAAATTCTATGAATTTATTGTATGACTGATATGTCTTTATTCCCCCCGCCCCCAGTAGGAAGAGAATAGGAAAAAAGACAAAATGCTACTGTGATCCCAGACTCCACTATCTGACCTTTAGTTCCTCTTGGCATTATTGCGATATCAGTCCTATCATTCATAGTAGCTACTTTTAGATACCAAATACATTTTCTTTCCTATTATTTTAAATCAGCATATAACCTGTATTGATCTTCAACATCTTGTTGTTGTTAGTTGCGAAGTCGTGTCCGACCCATCGTGACCCCATGCACAATGTTCCTCCAGGCCTTCCTGCCTTCTGCCATCTTCTGGAGTCCATTTAAGCTCACGCCTACTGCTTCAGTGACTCCATCCAGCTACCTCATTCTCTGTCGTCCCCTTCTTCTCTTGCCCTCCATCTTTCCCAGCATCAGGCTCTTCTCCAGTGAGTCCTTCCTTCTCATTAAGTGGCCAAAGTACTTGAGTTTCAACTTCAGGATCTGGGCTTCTAAAGAGCAGTCGGGGTTGATCTCCTCTAGGACTGACCGGTTTGATCGCCTTGCAGTCCAGGGGACTCGCAGGAGTCTTCTCCAGCACCATAGTTCAAAGGCCTCCAGCCTTTCTTTTTTTTATTGAAAGTTTTTTAAATTTTACAAAACAAATCCCCTCCCCAAACCCCCCCACCCTCCCATAGCCTTCCCCACCTCCCCAAACCTCCCAAACCCTCCCCCAACCTTCCCAGGGCTGAGTACAGGCTTAATTAAAATTTTTCAGAAAAAGAAAAGAAAAACTTAAAACACATATAAATCCTAAACAAATCTAAATACATCAAATTAAATAGGTTATCTTCTGTAAAAAATAATAATTGCAATCATTAAACACATTATAATATACTCTAAACATTTTCTAATATCATACTTATATTATTATCCATCATTCTGTATAAACTCCCTCCAAAACACAAATTTAAACATTACTTTCTTTGAATATCTATACCTACAATTTAAAATCTAATCTCTCCCTCTTTCTTTATCCTAAAACACAAAAATAAACATATAAACCTTCATTATACCATTAAAACTAAATACTCTTTGAATACTTAAACTAAATGCTTAAACTTAAACTTCTTATCTAAAATTTTCATACAATCTCCATAATCTTCTATAAAAAAAAACTTAAAAGACATATAAATCCTAAACAAATCTAAGTACATTTAATTAAACAAGTTATCTTCTCTTAAAAATAATAATAATAATAATAAAAACCCCAATCATTAAACACATTATAATATACTCTGGACCTTTTCATATCATACTTATGTTATTATCCATCATTCTTTATAAACTCCCTCCAAAACACAAATTTAAACATTACTACATTAAAATTCCCTTATACACATTTAAATCTTTATCAATAACAAATTCCATCCACAATAAACACATTCCTTATCAGAAACACATTCCTAATCAATGTCTCTTGTCCATAAACCTCAAAAGAAGTGCTTTAAAAACTGCCCTTAAAGGTAACTCCAAAAAGTTTGTAAATCTTGCTTCTCCCTCAGAGTCAGTACTCTTTTGAATACTTAAACTAAGTACTTAAACTTAATAATCTTCTCTCCAATAACCAATTCCATCCACGGTAAACACATTCCTTATCAGTCTTTCTTATCTATAAACCTCGAAAGAAGTGCTTTGAAATCTGCCCTTAAAGGTAGCTCCAAAAAGTTTATAAATCCTGCTTCTCCCACAGACTCAGGAACCAATACTTGTGAAGCTTCCTTCAACTCCTTCTTCTGTTGCTCTTTTTCTTTATGATCATATGTTGCACGAGTTGTCCTCTGCTCCTTCTTCTCGACTTGTTGAGGCCCCTCGAACTGAGGTTTCCCATTTTTCATTAATATAAGCTCTTCAGACTGCAATTCTACCCTTGAAGGTTGCTCCAAAAAATTTATAAATCCTACTTCTCCCGCAGATTCAGAGACCAATAATTGTGAGGCTTCCTTAACCTTCTTTTGTTGCTCCTTTTCTTTACAGTTATATGTTGCACAAGTTATCCTCTGCTCCTCCATATCAACTTGTTGAGGCCCTTCAAACTGAGATTTCCCAATTTTCATAAGTATAGGTTCTTCAAACTGCAATTCTACCTTCTTTTCTTCAAAAGCTTTAAACTTAATGGATGGCGATGAACATACCCCCAGGACCGAAGTATAAAAGTCTTTTGCTTGAGAAACAGTATTAAGTCTATAACATGTCCCCAGGTAACTCACCACCATTCCAATCGGAACATCCCATCTGAACAAAATTCGTCTCTTTTTAAGTTCATCTGCTAAAAAAGCAAACTCCTTTCTTCTTCTTAAAATTTTAGATGGGATCTCCTTTAGAATTATAACATCTTGTGAAGCAATTTGAAACCTCTTCTTATAAAAAGCTTGTATAATTTCGTTGCGCAGGGATCTTTTTCCAAAGTAAATTACCACATCTCTTGGCAAATTCTTTTGCGCTGCCACTACAGAGTTAACTCTAAATGATTTTTCAATTTCACTAAGTATTTCCTCTTTTTCTTTATTCAAAATCACAGCAAAGTCCTTTGCAACCATCTCTCTCAGATTTCCTTGCACAGACTCTGCCAGGCTTCTAATTCTTAAGGCATATTCCATTTGTCTATATTGAAGCATAAGAATCTCATTTTCCATTTCTTTTTCCATGCTTTCAAATTTTCCCTCCCTCAATTCCACTTTTTCTATTACCTCTTCTACACGAGAGTTCAGCTTTTCAAGAACAGAGGTAACTCCTTTTAGGGCCAAAACTATCTCTTGCCTCAAAATCTTATTATTTTCCTCTAAAATCTCTTTCATTTCTCCCCTAATTTGAGACATAACATTTTCCATCATATCTTGCAAATCCTTCACAATTATTGGCTGTACCAAAGAAGAGGGTGAAGCTATTGATTTAGGTTGTTGTGCTGATGTTGACACCGAAGAAGAAACCACCTTAGGAGCTGTAGGAATTGCTGGACACTTTGGAGCCATCTTTAAAAAAAAAATCTTTACTCCTTCTTAAAAATTACAAAAAATAAGCAAAAGAAAAAGAGAAATTAACTCCAAAAAAATTCAAAAAATCCTTCAAAAGGATATCATTATAATAAAAAGAAAGGAGTTAAAAAAAAGAAAAGGGAAAAAAAATAATTAAATAGAAAAAAGAATCCATTCCATTTTAAAAAAAAAATACAAAAAACGAAACAAAGAAGTTAAACAAAAATAATAATGCTTCTAAAATCCACCAAAAAAATTCAAGAAATCCTTCAAAAGGAGATCATTATAACAAAAAGATATTGAACGCTTTGGAGCCATCTTAGAAAAATCTTTACTCCTTCTTAAAAGTTACTAAAATTAAACAAAAGAAAAAGAGAGATTAACTCCAAAAAATCAAAAAATCCTTCAAAAGGAGATCATTATAATAAAAAGAAAGGAGTTAAAAAAAGAAAAGGAAAGAAGAAAAAAGTAATTAAATAGAAAAAATCCATTCCATTTTTTTAAAAGTACAAAAAGCAAAACAAAGAAGTCTAAAATCCAAACCCAACATCAAAATCAAATCCACATTCCGTTCCAATCATTAAAAAAAGGAAAAGGATAAAAAAAAACACCAAAAAGCCTGCCGATCACCATTCTACCTTCCCCCCCCCAAAAAAAACCCGAAAAGCTTGCCGATCGCCATTTTACTTTCCCTTTCAACAAAAGGAAAAAAATAAAAAGAGAGAATATAAAAGTAAAAATAAATCTTTAAACTTAAAATCCAAGTAAAATCAAAGAAAGCAAAAGCTAAATCCTCTACTCAGCTCTGTCCGCCTCTAAAAAAAACTCACCAGCTAACTTTAATCACGGAGGTGGTTGCAGCGGCTTGTTTTGTCCCTAGGGACAAAAGCAGCTGGGAAGCAGAGACAGTCTGAACTCGGTGGGAGCACTCCTCTCACCCCCCCAAAAAAGCCTTGGGGGTGCATGAGAGTGGCTCTACCACTATTCAGACAACCCTCTTCCCCCCCCCCTTTGCCCGGGAGGGGGATTTTGAACCGCTGAACAGCTGATGGCCGCTGTTCATAGCAATTCAAACACTTACCCAGGAGGACGGCTACAAAGTAGCCGCCATCGCGCGCGCAGATCCACTGGAAGCCCTCCTCCAGCCTTTCTTATGGTCCAACTTTCACAGCCATTTTAACATCTTAGGACTCCTGAAAAGTACTGTTTCTCCTTATCCCTGTGTGATAGAGCTTTCTTCCTGGCATAAAATACTTTATATTAAGTGGCCTCCAGATTGCAAATTCAGTCTTCTTCCTTCTCTCCTTTCTTTAAATCAAACTGATAATTCCCCCCATTCCCACCCAGGGCCTAACAATGTCCTCACTCCAACAGTTTTATCAACCAAGAAGCAATTTCCCATAAATAATAGTAAAAGAGGAGAGGGTCCTCAAACAAAGGTAAGGAAACTTTTTTTTTTATTTCTTGCTAAGAAGTCCTCAAGGGTGCCAAAATCTGCCACTGAAAGATCTACACCTTTTGTGATGTTTGAGTTTAGAATTTTAGATCATCATCTTAAGATCGTCATCTTAAGACTGAAGTTCCTGTTGAGATGCTTTTAGAGGATGCTACGCGGGTCATATGCATAATTTTGCTTCAGGCCAAATTAGAAACAGAAGGTAATAATACTGGGCAGGGCATAATATTATTCTTCTGCGATGCTAATGTACTGCTGAGTAAGATTTGCAAAGTAACTCAGAAAGACAAAAGGTCAGAGGCAGCTGGATGAGAATACTCACCACTGTGGCCTGTGGAGAGTTGTTCATTAACAGGGGGTCAGATGCTGTGGAAGACAAATTTTTGTTACCACGCTGTCTCTATCTTAAATCTGCACAGCCTCCACTATTTCCAACACAGAGCAGGAAATATAGCCTTGCCCAATGCAGTATTTTTTTCCTCCCTCTGTAACAGGGTGTGTAAACCATTTGGAGTTCAAAAATCTGTGCAGAGAAGAGCCCACAGAGTACACGGGGAATTGAGTGGGGGCAAACACTCTGGATTCTCTGATCATATTTTACAAGGTAAGGACTTTGCAGTATTTTCTTCTCTTGCTGATGGATTGTTAATTCTTCCACGCCACTATTAAGGTCATGGAGCTGTGCAAATATTCAGCTAATTAGAAACATTAATCTGTAATAAAGCCCACAATCAAGGGGGGGCAGATATCAAATATGGTAAATCAAGTCAGAATGTAACTCAGCAGCCGCACTGCTCAAGACTAAGTATTATTTTTTTTTCCCACTTAGACACTAACTTTATATTTGGCATCCAGAATGAAGGCTTCTCGGACACTTGACTTTGTTATTATGTCCTTCTCAGTTATAAGTAGATAATCCTTCAGGTCTAAATGGAATTCTGGGGACTACAGCAGTACAGAAATGGTGATACTTGTCTTCTTGAGAATTCTGTACCAGCTTATAGAACAGATTTTTCTTGGTGGTTATCCATCTTAAGATAGATAGATAGATAGATAGATAGATAGATAGATAGATAGATAGATAGATAGATAGATAGACAGATAGGTGGGTGGGTGGGTGGGTGGGTGGATGGATGGTTGGATGGATGGTTGGATGGATGGATGGATGAATAGATAGATAGATAGATAGATAGATAGATAGATAGATAGATAGATAGATAGATAGATAGATAGAGAGAGATGGATAGATGGATAATTGAGTGACAGAGAGAACTGATAGATAAAAAGATAGCTATAGATAGACAAATGATTGAGAGAGAAATGATAGAATAGAGATAGATGATAGAGATGATACGGAGAAGATGGGATAGGCTCCTCTCACGTGTTCCAGCTTCTGCCATCACAGCAGTTTGAAATGGGCAACCATGAGTAGATAATTGGGTATCACTTTGGTGGGCAACTTAATGGGGACATGAAAGGAGCCCCTAACTGGGCATCCCCCAGATAATGGGGATGTCACTCTTCAATTCTTTCAACCTGGAAGTGCTCCTGCACTCCCAATATGAGTGTAGTAGTAGTATATGGAGAAGATAAAGAGGTAAAGAGATTGAGCTATAGATGGTTGGTTGGTTGGTTGGTTGGTTGGTTGGTTGGTTGGTTGGTTGGTTGGTTGGATGGATGGATGATGGATGGGTGGATGGATGGATGGATGGATGGATGGATGGATGATAGATAGATAGACAGACAGACAGACAGACAGACAGATAGATGAAAGATGGATATACAGATAGATAGATAGATAGACAGACAGAAAATATTTAAGATCAGCCAAGTTGTCAAGATATTGCCTGCTGCTATAGATATCCTATATTGCATCTATCCACATCCATACTTAATATATAGAATGCTGGTTTAAATTTTTTCTCCTTAATGGTGTACTCAGTGGTGCTTAGTAGAGAACTATTGTATGTGTCCAAAGATTCATCTGGGCCAGGATTATCTTCTTGCAGAGGCCAATTAGATGCCTATGGGATCCACAAAGACTGGGCATGATTGAAAGAGCTCACTGCTGTTTCTTAGCAACTAATATCATTGAGAGAGGTAATTTATTTAGGCTTATTTTAAGTAGAGTCCTAATGATGTTCTCTACATTTCTTGTGGTGTTTCAGTGCCAGGTTTTCAGTTATTAAAATGGGCATCATTTTGCATGCAGAGGGTTGGGGCTTTCAAATTTGAAGCTGTACAAATGCTTAGGAAAAGGGGTACAAATAATTTATTTTACTTCTTTACGGAGGTTTATATGCTGCTGCTATCCAACAGGACTTGAGTGGCTCCTATGGAGTGTTTTGGGGAAAATTCTTCAGCAATGCATGCTATTGTGTGTGTTTATCAACTCCTCCCAGAGGTGCTGTTAAAAAGGACTTTGCAGCTTCTTAAGGCTTTTATATTAAAGCTCTTGTAATATAGAAGCTTGCAGGTTGAGTCATAAGCCAAGAAATCTCTGTCAAATCTCAGGAAATCCAGAAGCTTAGTAAATGATCGTAGGGATGCTATGACACGCTCCCTAAGTATCTATGTGAAAGAAATCACTGCTAGATTATCTCTCTGACTTTGCTAAGGACCACTCAACTAATGTGAGGATAGATAGATAGATAGATAGATAGATAGATAGATAGATAGATAGATAGATAGATAGATAGGTGGGTGGGTGGGTGGGTGGGTGAGTGGGTGGGTGGGTGGGTGGATGGATGGATGGTTGGATGGATAAATAGATAGATAGATAGATAGATAGATAGATAGATAGATAGATAGATAGATAGATAGATAGATGGATAGACAGACAGATGATAGATAGATAGATAGATAGATAGATAGATAGATAGATAGATAGATAGATAGATGATAGATAGATAGGTAGGTATGTAGGTAGATAGGTAGGTAGGTGGGTGGGTTGGTGGATGGATGGATGGATGGATAGATAGATAGATAGGTAGGTAGGTAGGTAGGTAGGTAGGTAGGCAGGCAGGCAGGCAGACAGACAGACAGACAGACAGATAGATAACCTTTGTTGTTATTTTTTTACTGTGGGCACAATGGCACACATTAAAAATGAATTTTTTAATGTAAGTGTACACATACATAACACCCATTTAAACATACTATATACAACATATGTATAGACCTACACCCTCTACATGTAAGTAACATATAAATATTAATCACGGTCCATCTTGAATACATAACGGAAGGAGGAAGCTTTAGAGTTCACAAGGCTAATACCGTATGGAACAAAACTGCCCCACGAGCCTTCAGATATACCGGTTGAATGCTATGCAACTCTTAGCCACAACCTTCTGATCCTCTTCATAGTTGGATCTGCAGCTTTCAACTAGTCATTCCCTTCTTGGGTGAATGAGCAAAGGCTGAGCTCTTGCCAACTCTCACGTACAGTAGAGCAATAGGAAACAGAACCCTACTATGGTATCCAAACATTTGGAATATACCATATGGAGGTGAAAACTGCAAGAAGGATAGACTAACAGGAGAGGGTGATGCCTGTTTAGTTTCACAGGAGAGGCGTCAGGCACAAAGGACCAGGTCCACACCTGAAGATCCAGTTAAACTGATTTACTGCTATTCAGGCCTATGCACAGGAATCTTCTCAACTAACAGTTAGCACCTCCTTGGAGTTAGATAAGGGTCCATGGAATTCAAGGGGGGGTTGGACTTAGTCCTTTTGTGGCTATGTAGGAATTCTAGGCTGGTCCCTCTTTTGACTCCACCCCCACATTCTCCCACTCCTTCTCCTACAACAGGGGTGTCAAACTCAATTTCATTGAGGGTCGCATCAGCATTGCGGTTGCCCTCGGGGGACTGGGTGAGTGTGGCCAGGGTGGGTGTGGCCTACTGAGTGGGTGTGGATGGAGTGGGTGTGGCCTACTGGGTGGGCATGGCCAACTCTACATCGTTCGCATCAAGGGTGCCTGTGGGGGCCTGGCAGGAGTGGGACAGATCTGAGGGTCTCTGGCAGAAGGGGGTGGGACTGGGGCAAGCGCCAAGGCATGGTCCATTTTTTTATTCCTCACAAAGGTGACACCTCCCCAGCATGCACCCAGGGGGTGGGGCCGACACAGCAGGGGCTGGTTCCTCGTTGTTTCTAGATGGCCTTGGGGAGCTAAGACTGAATGTGTTTCAGCATAGATGGCCACCACAAAATTGTACATTAGCTCCCGACCTGGGCCAGGGCCAAGGCAGTGGGGGCCGTTCCCTCACTGTTTCTAGAATGGCTTCACAGGCCACATGAAACCACTTTGAGGGCCGCATCCGGTCCCCGGGCCTTGTGTTTGACATGTCTGTCCTACAAGAAGGGGTTTCCATTAGTTTTCTGTGATGTCTGGTTTATTCAAAGGCCTGTAATGCAGATGCTTTTCATCAGCACAAGGAAACACATCAAGGAAAAGCAGGATATTGTGAGGCAACGAGACAAAGGAGCGCAGGAAATTTCAAATTACACTACACAGTCTTGTCGTGTTCATAGCATGTCTTTCTTGGGTCAATTCCTGAGGTTCCCTAAAGCTGCTAGTAGTCCCTTACCAGCATCCTTAGACTGAAAACCAACTCCTTACTCAATCGGTCCAGGGACGTTGCATAATAGATTCTTACAAGCAGCTTGGATCAAAATGAGTGGTGGACAGGAAGTAGTATTGACAGAGCCAGGAACACTTCACAAAGGTGGTGTCACTGCAATGACAGCAAATGTATTCATCACTCCCCCCCCCCACCCCATTTCCTTTGTTGTCCCAGCAATGTCTAACCAATCAGCCACTCATAAGATCCTATGACTGAATCGGCTAGCTTCAAGGTGCATTTAACATGAGAGAGATCCACTTGGATCCTGGATCTATTTCTCTGCCTCTGTGCTATTTAGCCTAATAATAATAATAATAATAATAATAATAATAATAATAATAATAATAACAATAACAATAACAATAACAACAACAACAACAACAATAATAATAAATAGAAATAGAAAGACTGTGAAAGAAATAGAAATAGAAAGACTGTGGCAAAAGCAAGCAAGGGTAGTACCAATAGTCATAGGCGCCTTGGGTGCAATCCCAAAACAACTGGAGCACCACTTGAACACCATTGGCATTGACAAATTCACTATTAGTCAATTGCAAAAGGTGGCCTTATTAGGAACTGCTTCCATCCTGCGACGATACCTGTAATACCATCAAAAATCCATCTGCCTATCCCAGGTCCTGGGTAAGGACTCGATAGGTAGACAAAATGCCAAATCCAGTCTGAACATCTGGCTGACTGACTGTGCGATGATCCGTAA